TGACGTTAAAAAAAAAGGGGCAGTAGGGCAGGACAGCAGGGTAGGGTTACGTAGTGGTAGGAAGCACGGTGATGACAGGATAGCAGATGTATATCAAAATTGATATATCAAATTTCATATTTATCAAAGCAGCAGACAGACACACTTTCGCATTAATAATATTAGTGTAGATAGCGTAGTATGGATTTTCAGTCAGGTTATTCACAAAAGTAAATTAATTAGTGTAAATTATGTGCAGATGTATTTCGACATGGTATTGTACCGAGTTGAGAACATTTAAACGAATAGTATTTTAAATGTTTTTGAAATAACATCTGTCTTGTACAATGAACGGTGCCTTTTGTCAATGCTTTTGGCAAGTGGAAATTAAATTAAATTTCGTTTTATAATTTTCAACATTGTAATAGGTGAGTATAAGACAAAAGACTTGGAGACATTTTATTAAAAAAATCATATAATTAAAGAAAATATTAAACGGCGGCAGGCGGGACTCGAACCCGCACTCTTTGCTATCTGGGCGAATGCACTGACCATGCTACCTCGGCCCTGATAGCCTTGTCTAATTCCCTCTAGCCTTTCTTAAGCTGCAAGGTAGCGCCATCTTGTATTGTAGGTAACCCACAATGTCAAATGAATACCTTTAGATTTAGATTTTAATACCTTTTTATTAAGATTTTAGATTTAAACATCTAGCAGTCACTTGCTTAAAAATAAATAGATATATAAATCATATAACTGTTTAAGAATATTTGATGGATAAGTACTTATTGAATTAATTAATTAATCAATATTTTTATCATAATGGTCTCTTTTTTTCTTATTATTTACTAGCGGCCCACCCTCGCTTCGCTTCGGTGTAGAGCTGAAGTATAGACTACAGTTTTTGTTCTCAGGCTTGTATTATACACAATGACATTCATCTATGATTCTTCTTATACCTGCATGCAAAGTCTCAGCCCGATCGGTTTAAAATTGACAAAGTTTCATACAAACTTTCATTCTCTATTTTATCCCCTTGGGGATAGAATTGATCAAAATCCTTTCTTAGCGGATGCCTACGTCGTCATAACATCTACCTGCATGCCAAATTTCAGCCCAATCCGTCCAGTGGTTTGGGCTGTATGTTGATAGATCACTATGTCAGTCAGTCACCTTTGAATTTTATATACATAGATTCATGGCCTATAGGCTACATAAACCTCCTTCAACCCTTTCCATTTGCTGTGATCTTATGCTAGGCTTTTTAGCTTTTTCTTTGGTAAGGGCTTAATTAAGCGACTAATAACTCTTATTATGATTGATGACGATTAATATTAAGAGATTGTATTTTAAATTTATATGTTTATTTATTAACTCATGAAATAATATGTTGTATAATTTTAAGTAAAGCCTATTCTACACGGATGTAATCCAGCATACCAACCAAGGTGATCTTAGTGTAGGGCTGCCATCCGTCCGGGTTTCCCCGGATTTGTCCTAGTTTACGGGGCGTAGTCCGGGTTTTAAAAAAATCCTGTTTTGGGTCGACAATTAACCCGTCAATTTACATGTCTTTGAAAATAAATAATTTTTTTCTAGTTATATTTTCTTTAGATTTAAACATCAAGCAGTTACATGCTTTAAAATAATAAAATTATAACTATAATTGCTATTTCTTCTTTCAAACGTTTAATACTTGTAAAAGTATTCATTTGACATTGTGGGTTACCTATAATGCGAAGAGATGGCGCTGCCTTGCAGCTTAAGAATGCCTAGAAAGATTTCGACGCGGTCCGTGAGGGCCGCGGTAGCATAATTGGTCAGTGCATTCGCCCGGATTGCGAAGGGTGCGGGTTCGAGTCCCGTCTGCTGCCTGGTCCGCGTGGACTTTTTTCTAGTTATATTTTCTTTAGATTTAAACATCAAGCAGTTACATGCTTTAAAATAATAAAATTATAAATAAATCTTTTCTCTCTCAAATATCAGCTCTGTCGCTCACGCTGTACGCAATAACAGCATGTTGCTATATCATCTATAAACATCCCTCGGATAGAAGAAGGAGGGTGTAAAGACAGACTTGTGTCCGAGATAGAGATGATACTGGATCAAGTCTCAAATTGGAGCCAACAAAATTTGATTGCATTAACCCAGCAAAGACACAAATGTGCGTGACCTTTTCGTTCAGACCCGGCAACGCATGAGTGGGCCTTGGTGATGCAAGTGTCCACTGACCACTTATTATGAGGTAGACTACTAGCTCTTTTGCCTACATCAACATAAAAAAAGTTGATTTGTGACATTTTTAACTGTTTTTGAAGTTATACTTCTTTAGGCACGTTATGAAAAAATGATGAGAGTGAAATTTTTAGATGCGCGCGCATCACTGTAACCCAAAAGTAACAGCATGAAGTTGGCTGCGGGCGCGTTATGAAAAAATCATGTGAGTGAAATTTCGAGATGCGCGCGCATCACTGTAACACAATAGTAACACCATGAAGTTGGCCGCGGGCGCGTCATGAATGTTAGTGTCTAATAATGGTGGATTTATTAGACATCTGTTCGAAAGGTACTTTGAACGATCCACGGAGCTCCATAAGATGATCGCGTTGTCAAAAACAATGTTGGCACGCTCGTCGCCTCTGATCACTGTTTTCATATTTATAATATTTATCCACATGTTTCTAGTTTCTATACAGACACAACGTGTTTTAGTTACTTACAAGTGCTAATTACATATGGACTAATAACTTAAATTCAGTAGTGATTTTAATTGAATATTTTGAATATTTATTTAATTTTTCAAATTAAAACTGAACTTAATTGACTGTGTTAACTATCCTTTTCCAGTCCTTTTAATTATTTGCATGCAATTAAAAAATATTTTTAATGATGCTAAAGAAGTATAACTTCTCACGCGCGTACATAAGTTACACGCATCCATTTTTTTTTTATTGGTCTGTCCGGGTTCTGGGCTCCTAAATCCGGGGTTATCATACGTCTTGTCCTGGTTGCCACGTTTTAGAGATGGCAGCTCTACCTTAGTGGGAAGTTGGTTCCCATCCGCGTTATGATTTTCGGCCACACGTAATAATATCGATATATTGATAATTAACGTCGATGTAATCCACGCGCCAACACGCAATCGCGAGCCGTCTTCTGGCGTGAAAACACGTATATATGCACTTGTTGGCACTGTTGCAAGCGCCATGATCACGGAGTAACTCCGTGATATTAACGGGATTGTTACCATGTACCTTGTTTTTTATGACTCTCCGATATTTCTAAATCGTTATAGATCCTAAAATGTCATATAAAATAAAAAATGGTGTAAGGAACCTAATTATGATTTTTGATTATCTAGACAATGATACCCCACTCGACATATTTCATCAACTTTTTTTTTACTTTGTCACAATTTGGCACCTAATTGTTCCCACATTGAATTTTAATTAATATAATATCTTTAGTAGCACTCCCATCATTAAGACGATCAAAATCGATCCACGCGTTTCGTCTCTAGTGTGCCACATACATACATATATAGACTGGTAAACACTATACCCTGACTGCGCGTCGCGCTTCGCGCTCTTGCATTGCGCAGTCGGGTAAAATGATGTTGAATATAGACGTGGAAAAGGGCATTCGTATATTTAATAAGATAATTTGTACCTAGGTACAAAGGAGACCCGGCACTTTTCATAGAAAAAATGCTAAACTTGTATACAGTTGAATTTGGTCTCAAAATAAAGCCGAAAATTATTTGCTACATAAAACTACTTTTGCCTTATTTTTAGTGAATCGTGGAAAGAAGTTATTTAATGATTAATATTTTTTGATATAGAAACCCTTTTGATGACAAACCTACGTATTTGACATTGACAGCTAGCTGCTGATGACAAATATTGCCAGACTACATTACCCAATTATGAAACACAGATAAAAAAATTAAAAAAGTATACAACTTTGGCACAAAATGCCGGGTGTCATTTCAAAAAGTGGGCATTGCTTTAGGAGTTTTGTGTGCAATAGACGACGAAAAACAACACATGAAGAGAAAGTGAATGAAGATATGGTTAAAAGAGAGAATGATTCTCAGCCATTCAAACTTATGTCCAACTCCCTATAGTTTTCGAGTAATATCTCCCACGCATTTTTTTTCATGAGCATCTTTATATGATTCCGACGTAATGTCCCATAAGCATGGGAGATCTCTATAGAGATCAATTAGTTCGCTGGTAATATCGCGTTCGAGACTCTGGTCTTCGGACGACATATTTTACATGCATACCTGCGCACCCGCTGACTGCCACAGCGCAACTGTCTATGGTAGGCTTGTTGAAAATATATCGATGTATCGATATATCGATATTTTTTGTCCGATATATCGATATTTTTTGCCGATATATTTTGATTCGATATATCGACACATTGATACAAAATAACCAATACCGAAATTGGTATCAAAAACGATATTTTTTTAATTATTAGCGGCATATCACGATCTAACTAAATTCGTATCTGGAAAAATCGTAACTGGATCTCAGATTAATGATATTCAACATATCTATGATCTGTGTTGTATTTAGTATTGTCTATTATTTGTAAATCTGTTTCGCTGGTGAATTGGTTGTGCTGATTTCCATTATATTCTGTGAAGTGTGTGACTGTCTAGTCTTGTTAACGAAAGAGACCCTGCAATCATTTACCTGAGAGGCCCTGCAATCATTTTCATCATTCGAAAATAGGGTCTATTTTTAGGGAGATAATTTTCGTTCCATTATTATTCCGCGTGTCATATTTCGTGAGCTACTGTACGATATTTTTGGGAAAATTGGTCCGATATATCGATATATTGATGTTTTTTTCGCGATATATCGAACTCGATATTGATATTTTTTAAAAGAACGATGTATCGATATATCGATATTTTTTTCAACTTTCGACATCCCTAGCCCGTAATGCAAGGATATTGAAGGTCAAATCAAAATTTGGATTACATCCATCGTCTAGATGGATGGCAACGAGCAAGGTCACCTTGGTCGGTGTAAGTATAATGTTATTCCATCTGTAGGGAAGGTGAGTGGCCAGTGCAGTGTAGACATAACTAGACTGCACTGGGCACTCATAATGTGTGTGTGTTTGTGTGATGTGTGTGGGGCTGATGGGGCTATTCGTAAGTGGAATTCTTTGCCCGCGCACATTTTCTCTCCTTCCTACAATCTGGGGTCCTTTATGAGAGGCGTGAAGAAGCATTTTTGCAGGCCGACAAGGTGAGAATGGTCTGGCAGTTTATAACTGCTGTACTGGCTACCTTTGCGTTTGGACTTTATCACCACTTAACATTCATTCATCTCATTATGGTGGGGTAGAGTCATTTGCCTATCTGGTTTAATAAAAAAAAAAGTCATTTTATTTGACTTAGAAAAATGGTCAATTTAAATAAAATACTGATGAAGATTGTGATTAAATTAAAGCAGCTTGGAAGAGAATGGTATTTTTGATACAGGGTAGGGTTTACGAATAAGATAATACAAATATTTATCATGGTGTCATGGCTTATCAGGCTTCCCCTTTGGACGTTTCATATGGCATTTGATCAGGATGCTTTAAAAGTAGCCGAAAATAATTTAAAACATATGGCTATGCCTCAGATTACAGAACAGAATGCAGAGGGAGTGCACGGAACACACAATATCGTGGTATCATAGCAAATACGAAATGTTTGAAAAAGGCTTTGAAAAAAGCGAATATTAAGTTTTGATAAAAACTTAATATTCACAGTACCTCCTGTTCACAACACTATGCGTTGTGGTGTGTGATCCATATTCCACTGTGATCTACGAACTGTGATCCATATTTGTTAGTAGTTCTATTCTATGTAAGTAGTATATGATTCGTAGAAGTAATAAATTATGATGGTACAAACATGAAAAACATTATAATAATTAAACAAACGTAACATAATTTTTATGTTAGTTTTGTATAATTGTTTTGCTTTAAAGCAAAATATTAAAAACGCGCGTGAAACGAAACGCAAACCGCCATTTTGAATGTAGATTTTGGCAGATACGATTCAATTTCCTCCTACCTCCCTCGCAAACCCCAAAACGGGCGACTTATTTCTACATTTTTACCCTTACGTCATCATCACCTTCACACAATGCTTGATAAAGCAACTATCCAATTTGTTGGCTACAGTCATTAGGATGGTGTTTGAGCTTGCTCGTATTCTGCTCAGCAATGAAGCTATTCTTTTGAGCATGCATGCGTCAAACCCGTGAGTGCGCTCTTCGGCAAAAATACCAGAGGCGCTACAGAATCGTGACATACCCAACAGCATCCTAAACGCATTATTATATTGTACTCAAAGAGCGGTAAGTGATTTCTTATAATAATTGCACCATAGGCTTCTCACAGTATGTTCTAAACTGAGATTATTTTTATAATTAATATTCGTTTTTGACTTCGTATTTGCTATGGTGCCACGCATTGCGTTTTCCGTGCGCTCCATCTGTCTTTTGTACTGTAATCTGAGGTTTACCCACTTTTAATCACAATTTAAATTGACTTCTAATAAGTTGAGAAAATGTGATCAAAGATTGGTCAGAACTGTACCAAATATATTTTAAAACGTGTGCAAAAGGATAAAGAACAGCTCTTACCTGATAAACTGATCACTATGATGCCGGGTACGATGAAAACTGTATTGGAAAATGCATGTTCCAATGGACCATCTTGACCGCCTCCTAAATCAACCATCTTCACGTAATACTGCTTAAAACTCTAATAATACTGAAACGGTGACTTCGGCTCGCTTGTTATGCGTCAAAATGCCATAACAGGAGAAGAACTTTGTAGCTTTTTCGGTAAATTTCGCAAAACTGTCGTAAAGTATTGACGACAACAACATTAATGTGACAGTTCTAGTGAGGTAGGGTGTTCGTTCCGGTAGAAACCGTAATTTTTAATTGAAAAGTTAGAACATACCGTCATTCAGTGGATACATAATGTCAAAATAATTCAGCAATAGTAGAATACGTGTATTTTTATTCGTATACACCTTATTTTTAAAAATGAATTAAGTAGTATAAAATATTCTGATTAATAAGGAAGACAGTGGTGTCGATTCTGGCATGATTATATAAACGTCTTCTATGTATCCTTGTCATTCTCTATACAGAATGAAAACGAGGGAGGGCCCGATGTTAATTTTAGTTTTAAGCTTAGAGAATGCCATAAAAAAAGAAAAAGAAGAAGAAACTTAGAGAATCATACCAGAATCGCCACATTTGTTTGGTAAGTTATAGATCGTGAATGATTTGAATGTTTGTTTTTTTTTATAAAATCTATTGATGTATATTTGTTTTATCAACTTGCTATTTGAATCTGGTTGAATGTTTTCCAGTAATAATAAAATACCATTTATTCATTTTATTAATTTGTCATCACTTCAATATGAATTTCTATCTATTGTTTTTGTCATTCATTCGTCATTCCGCGCCTTTTCTTTTAATTGTAATTTATAATAAAATACTAACATTTTAGAAATTTAGAATACTTGTATATGATAATAAACATCATGTTCCAGCAGGATTGAAGCGGCAGAATTGGTTTTTGAATGAGAAAACAACATAATTTTCCATTTTTTTGGGAGCTCCGACTCGCGATACGGAACGATCCAAAACGGTAGCGGTCACGCGTGAACTAATTTTATATAACGCACATGGTCAGAGTGGCCACGTATTTTAGCGAAAAGGGTTCGCCCGCCTATGCCATCAGAACATCAACGAGGTAGTATTTTGTATTTAAATGTATACCTACTTAGGCGTTGCTTACTTGTTATAACTCGAGGTACGACACTCTAGCGCTGACCGTTATTGCGCAGAAGTAAAAATTAAGATGTGTTGGGGGGAAACGAGGTGCGCGGGGGGCGTGTGTTGCGCCGATTGGCTCTCCAGTCGTACCCATGCGCAGCTATCCCTGACGCGTTTTGATCAGGGCTAGAGTTACGTCCCGCGTAAGACTGATTGTGATTAAATCTTTAATTTTTTTAGGCAGGGCCGGATTTAGGATTGTGGAGGCCCCGGGCCACTTAGGATTTGCATGCTTGTTAACCCATCGAAATGTTGTTATTTCTTAAGTTGTTGTGAAGGCCCCTGGGCCACAGCCCCACCCGCCCTGCCTTTATTCGGCCCTGGTTAGATGTACAAAGTACTGTAGGCTGTAGGTAAAGGTATAAGAGCAAAAAAAATCAAAGGAAAAGATGTTTTAGCACTTTAACAGCCTTTTTTTTATATGCAGGCAAAAAATACTGTTTATAGACGACGGCGTCTTTAAGAGGCACTCCGCCGAACGGACCTCACACCTGGCTCCCGCAAACCTTACAAGCTCCAGCAGTGGCTACCCACCAAGAACCCCGTAAATCTTACGGGCGCTTTACGGCATAATATACGCTAAAAAACCCTGCGAATACCCTATAAGCTGCGGGATCCCCGTTTCCCTAAACGGGATTGTTCCGCGTCTAGCACTTTAACAGCCTAGACTGAATAAATGATTTTTGATTTTGATTGAATTTGTTGATTAAATGCCTAAATGAAAATGTAACTTATTTATTCTTAATTATTCTAGAGGGATTTTCTAAAAAAAAAAGTTAGAGCCTAATTAGGGTTAATTTTTAAAACAAAACTACGAAATATAAATATAGATCTTTATTGAAAATACACAATTATGTATATCTTTTGGTCTTAAAGTAACATTAGTGTACACAATACTAAACAATATCCACTAATGCGACATTCCAATACAACAGTTTTTAATTAATATTATACACAATTAAAAATAATCATATTATCAGCCAGTAAAAATAGTTATCGATTAAAATAGCATATCCAATGGAATGTATTGACCATAATACTGCTGCAATGTCATCCACTTGATATAAAATGTTTATAAAACGAGTATAATCATTATTTAAAAAAAGTGTTCTTATTCATAAATTTATTTACATCCAGACAAAGTCTTTTTATTAATTTATATAATTCAGTCACTTAATATGTTATTTCTCAAGCAATTTGAAGCCCCCCAAATGAAAAGAATTATCACAGAATATTTTGAGGTGACCTTCAAATTTACACAATAAAAATTTTGGTCCTTGCCTTAGTGTGCAATTTTTATATAATTTGTATAATTCTTAGTTACATACCGAAATATAAGTTTAAATCTTAAAAATCTACTGATGTGTATAAAATACGAAACCCGAAATACAGAAGAGCTGTTAATAGTATAGTCTTGTAAAGATATTCATAAAAAGGCACTTATCAGAATGACATTGAGCACGAATAATATATTAATTTCATAAAACTTTTTTTTTTGATACAGTATTTAGCAATGTTTTGTCACATTACTGGTTAGGCGTTGAGATTCATATTAAAAGACTGTATGGAAAGAAGAGAATATTTCATTTTACCTGAAAATTTATATTATCTATTATCACGTACTAATCAAATAATAATTATTTTGTAACCAATAACATGGCAACACATGAGCTTTCTTTTTAATAAAAAAAAAACTTTGTGCAATTTCGTTTCGATTCACGCAACGCAACTTACCAGCTAACTATATTTTCTATTCAATAACATAACAATTCGAAATAATATTTTATTGCATTCACTTAGTACAGTTAAAATGTAAAGTTGTGTGAATCAACACGAGACTCGTATAATTATTATCTAAATTACCTAACATTTAATCAATTTATTTTACGTGTAAAATAAACTTTTTTCATTTAATTTTTCTTCAGGGGATCGAGATTATCTATTGAAAAATCATCGTTTCCAAAGGTGATCCCTCGGCTGAATCCATCCTGCGGGCAAAAAGATTATGCATTTTATTAAAAGTCCAAGAGGTCCTATTGTATTGTATTAAAATTAGATAAATAAACAATTTAACTAGAGAAATTTTACACATTTTCTTATCAGTTGTCGAAAAGACTATGTATTTGGTATTGAGAAAACAAACGTTTCATAAACGTTATCAAAAATTAAGTTTATCTATTTAAATAAATATAAATATTTTAGGATGCTCCAATGTTGAGGTTACCGTATTTTGTGAATTGAACTTACCAATTATTCATCTGTTAAAACCAAAATACAGTTAATTACTACGTTTTTTACGTTATGTACTCAAGACTTTGTCAGTATGATCTAAAAAAAAGTACTGCCTATTTTCCAAAAATATTTTCAAATTAACGCAGTTATGATGATGTAATAGGGTATTTGACAGTATTAAAAATAAAGTGCCAATTGTTAGCTATGTGTTTAGAATGAATATTGGCAGGGGTTTTTACTATTTTTACAACAAAAATATTCATAATTCTATTAAAAACTCACGATAAAGACAATAGTTTTCTTATCTATTATCACGTGACCCAAAACGCTTGGGATTGGCGGAGCCTAAAATGACGTCACACGCAAGTAAACTTCCGGTTAAAGTGACATTACATTGTATCGTTTGACGTTTTAATATCAGTCGTGTGACGTCACACACTAGTAAGACGCCATATTGTCCAGAAAAACGTTTTCGCGGCAATTTGAAAACGGAGTTTTTGATTTGGTAATTTTTACTGAAATACGCAACAGAATGATGAATATCCACTTTTTATGGACTCCATTACATTACATTAGTCAATAACGTGAGATCATTTTCTAAAACTTGTCAAATACCCTATTTAACCACGAACAAACGAACATTCTAGAATTCCTACTATGTTTATAATATCCACGAAAAATGTTGACAAAACACTTTTCGAAAAGTACAAAGAGCAAGTTTTTTTACTATTCAAAAAACCGAAAATAGTTAATAAATTGCCCTTTGTATCAGTTCAAAAAGTGTTTCATTAAACAAAAGCAACCAATTAAACATTAGGAACTAATTAAAAAAAAAACTCAATAAATTACCTTCATTTCTGAAATAGTTTTGTCTAGGAACCCGTTGAAACTGCTGTTCAACTCCACCGTCTGTTTCTCGCTCAAATTCCCGAATCCATTGAACGCATTCCCGTACCCATTTCCAAATATGTTTCCAGTCTTCTGCGTGTCGAACGGATCGTATCCGCTCAAACCGTTAGTGAAAGACGTGTTAGTGTTGTTAAAAACCGATGTTTGTAAATTAAAATCACTTATATCGTAATTCGGTTTCACTTGGTTCTGAGAGAAATTGGAGTTTTGCGGTTGTACCGATTGGACACCGAATGGTGGTGAACCGAATAAGTCGGAATTTAGCGGAATCGCTTGTGGGGTATGGACGGATTGTTGGGGTGGCGATTGCTGTTGTGGCGTTTGGCGTTTCGAAGCTTTTGGTGGTGGGGCCACTGAAAAAAATCATTTTTTTAGTTATGTTTTCATTTAATTTTAAGCATTTAACTGCTAGATGTTTAAATCTAAAGAAAAGTTTACTAGAAAAAAATCCACGCGGACCACCAGGCAGCGGACGGGACTCGAACCCGCACCCTTCGCAATCCGGGCTAATGCACTGACCATTATGCTACGGCATGGTATTAATTAGTAATTATTCTACATTCTAACATATTTATATCATCATCATCATCATCAGCCTATTTAGGTCCCCACTGCTGGGGCACAAGCCTTCCTTATGGTTGGAATAGGGAGATAGGGCCATGACACACCACGCGGGCCCAGTGCGGATTGGTGGGTGCTAACGACTGCAGAAGCAGCCGGGACCAACGGCTTAACGTGCCTTCCGGACCAACGGCTTAACGTGCCTTCCGAAGCACGGAGGAGCTCGAAATAGTAAATTTTTGGTCACCCATCCAATGACCGACCACTGCGATAGTTGCTTAACTTCAACGATCGCAGCCGAACGCGCTAACCACCCGCGCCATCGAGCTCCTCAAAAATATTAATATCTAAAAATAATTTTATAAAAAAGAGTCTTAATTCTGAGTGAAGATTTCTTGGAGTATTTTGTATGAAGTGAAACTTCTTTTCGAACGGGGTGTAAACGGAAAAATTGTACGGAAAAGATGAAACCAAAATGCGCCACGAGCGTCACACGCGACAATATAAATAATAATATATAAATAAATATTTCCGACACCTTCACCAATTAGCCTAGCCCTCAAGTAAGCACTATAAGGCTTGTGTTATGGGATGCTAGGGTAACGGATAGAATACATATACTGTACATATATAAGTATATTTATATAAATACATATTAAACATCCATGACTGGAGTACAAATGCTCGTATTCATCACACAAACATTTGCCCCCACTGGGATTCGAACCCGGGACCTCTCGAGTCGGCGACATCATGAAACCCGGCGTACAAACCACTCGGCCACGGAGGTCGTCAATATATACACGGGCTGTTTCTTTTAGGGTGTCAAGCCAGTGCGAGCTCGTAGCGGAGTACCATACCAATCAATTTAACTCCCATGTATGTTCTACGATTTTTCATAGTTTTCGAGTTAGATTTTTTTTCGTTATTTTTAAGTTTAACGATGAGACATATCAAGCTCAATCGAAAATCCTCAACATACGCTTTTTTTATAGCTTTGGATAAGGTTAGGTAGGAGATTATTTTACTTATAACCAAGGGCGGATCCAGGGGGGGTGGTCAAGGGGGTCATGACCCCCTGGGCTGGGTACAGATGGACCAAACCCAGGGGGATTTTATTTTAGTACTTTCAATATTTAATATACCACGACTATATTACCCCCCCTGGCGCCAAAGCTGGCTATATGACCCCCCTGGTGCCAAAGCTGGCTATATGACCCCCCTGGCGCCAAAGCTGGCTATATGACCCCCCTGGCGCCAAAGCTGGCTATATGACCCCCCTGGTGCCAAAGCTGGCTATATGACCCCCCTGGTGCCAAAGCTGGCTATATGACCCCCCTGGCGCCAAAGCTGGCTATATGACCCCCCTGGCGCCAAAGCTGGCTATATGACCCCCCTGGCGCCAAAGCTGGCTATATGACCCCCCTGGCGCCAAAGCTGGCTATATGACCCCCCTGGTGCCAAAGCTGGCTATATGACCCCCCCTGGCGCCAAAGCTGGCTATATGACCCCCCCCCCCGGCGCCAAAGCTGGCTATATGACCCCCCTGGCGCCAAAGCTGGCTATATGACCCCCCCCCCCCGGCGCCAAAGCTGGCTATATGATCCCCCTGGCGCCAAAGCTGGCTATATGACCCCCCCCCCCCCTGGCGCCAAAGCTGGCTATATGACCCCCCCCCCCTGGCGCCAAAGCTGGCTATATGACCCCCCCCCCCCCTGGCGCCAAAGCTGGATCCGCCCTTGCTTATAACACTACAAGCAAGAGGCATCCATTTAAATAAAAAATATCGAAAAAAAAGTTATATTTTTTCAAAGTTGTCTCATCGTTGAACTTAAAAAATAACGAAAAATAATTCTGACTCGAAAACCACGAAAAATCGTAGGACATACATGTTAAATAGATAGGTATAATAATAATAATACATTTTTATTGGCTTGAACAATAATGTGATCTTAAACTAATGACCTAAGGTATGGTACTCCGCTATCAGCTCGCACTGGCTTGACACCCTAAAAAAACACCCTGTATAGATGTACATAATATATGCTCCGTGCTGTGTGCACGTTTAATACTTAAATTAACAATATAATTACATTATAACTATTAACGGGAACCATGTACCTTGTTTTTTATAAGTCCTAATATAATACCAAATTTGGTTAAATAATTATGTATAAGAATAATAATATTATTACAACTTACATAGTGGTGGAGTGGGTGTAACCGCATTTTCTACAACAGGCGAAGTGAATCGTGTCACAGGTTCCGATTCGTATGCACGGGGGTCGAAATCTATAAAAGAAAAATAAAATATCTATATATATATATATATATATATATACAGGGTGAAATTGAATGTTTCTATGAAACTTCGTGAGATTGTTGGGTTACGAGTATAGAGTATACCTGATTTTTTTCGGTTTTTTTAAAATTATTTCTTTCGTTTTTTATTTTTTTTTATTTTGCATTTTTATGTCCTTTCCTCCTTTTGAGTGATAATTATTTTTAAACACGTACTCATAGTAAGTGAAATATAACAAATAAATAAGCACTATTAAAATAAACGAAAAATAGTTGATGTGGCCAGGCGAGGTCGACGCCGGGGGGAACGACCGCGCGCGCACAGCTGACGCGGCGCGTACCTATCTACAGTACAGTGAGACTACGACCTCGAGATACTGTGTTCATACTAAACAGCATCTCAAGATCGCTCTCAGAGTTGAGATCGTTCTATTCATACGGGCCTTAGATGTCATATTACAATGACAAAATTTAAATAAAGAACAAGTGTTATCTTCTCATTAGCAGAGAAAAATACCTAAAAAGTTAATAATAATTTTGTTACAAAAACAAATACTTATTGCAGTTTAATAATTGGGTCAGAAAGAAATTTATAACTAGGTATTAGACAGTACTTACGAGACCGGCGATGTAGTAAGTACAACGAGGAACGAGGAACATATTCATTTTTTTCACTAGAACTTTTTATCAAATCAATCACACTGGTAGTACGCTAATTAGTTGTTTCGAATCAAAAAGTATTTACGCTAGCAAAAAAAGAGACTAAAATTATTATTTGCAAAATTGTTGCACTATACCACCATTTTGCTGCAAACAAAGGTAGGCACGTTTGCGGACGTGTCTTTCTACCTTTTTTAAAGTGTCCCTGTCACTTCTCACTGCACAAAATGCAACTTCTATGCGTCTTTTTAGTTCCTCGTTATCACTAATGTCGTGTCCGGTTTGGCCGTATACGAGGTCTTTAATACGACCCCACAAAAAAAAATCCATTGGTGTTAGATCGGGAGAACGAGCGGGCCACGGCACTGGTCCCCCACGACCGATCCACCTTGTGCCATACGTATCACTCAAGTAGTCCCGCACCCGCTGAGAGTAATGGGCGGGAGCCCCATCATGCTGAAAATACATCCCTCTATGGTAAGACAAAGGGATATCTTCCAGCATGTTCTCGACTTGGTTCTGCAGCAAGTCTAGATAATTGTCCGTATTTAAGCGGTCTAAAAACACTGGCCCGAGAAGTTGGTCTCCTAAGATTCCCGCCCACACGTTCACACTGAAGCGTCGTTGGAAGTGTGAGGGTCTGACTTGACGCGGGTTCACTTCACTCCAAAAGTGGGAGTTGTGAATGTTAAACATTCCAACTCGGGTGAATGTAGATTCATCTGTCCACAAAATCTGACGGCGCTCTTCGCGTAGCCACGTGCAGAACTGCAGCCGAGCTGGTAAATCCGGTGGCGCCAACTCTTGCACTTTGGTCAGATGATAAGGATAGCTCTTCCTCTTCGTGTAAAAGCCGCCACACGTAATATTGGCTTACACCAAATACGGCTGCGGCATCTCTGGTGCTTGCCATTGGATGCTGACGGAAGAAAACCGGAATTTCTTCTTCCAAATCGGTATAAATACGAGGTCGCCCAGAGTCAGTCGCCGGTGCGTTGAAGAGTCCAGTTTCGCGGAATCTGTATACGGCGTTGAGTATGGTTTGCGGACATACTCGTAAACCAAACCTATCTTCGTAAAGCCTTGCGGCTCTACTGAGCACTTCGTCACACTCGCGATAGCAGTACACCATTTCTAAATATTCTTGGTTCGTATACCGAGGCATAATGAAATTATCACAGTGTTTGTCACTAAGTCAAAAGATGCGCACGCGCGATTGATATACTTGCGACTGCCCTTTGCATGCATTGCAATCAAAGCAAAGCACCGCGCGCGGGGAAGAGGGGAGGTGGGCGGGCGAGCGTCGGCGTACATAAAAGGCAGGACTTTTTAAGGTGCTTTCACATAATCATGCCGAAATAGCCCGCGCCGTACTACTTACTAAGACTAAGACTAAAGTAAAGCCTTGTATTTCTATAGTCAAACATTTACAAAAAAAACTGCCGTTGATATTTGTTACTGCCTTAGTAAGGCACCTCGCGCACTAGACGATTATGACCACGACCAGGAGCCGCGAGGACCAGATTAACTAAGGCACGTCGTGCACTAGGCCACGACCATGACCAGCCGTGGTCGTGGCCGTCACCACAACCTTGATCGCAGAAGCTACGGTTGGGCTGCGGACAAGTTTGTGGCAACGACCACGACTGGTCGTAAAGCGACCATATTACTGGTCGTTTCTTTATTTCATTAATAAATAACTCTTTCAAAGCTCATTGCAGAAAAATATCTTCGTCCTATAGAGTTGCGGAACGATACGAAGCGTGCTCTTTCACGAACTATCAGCATGACACTGAGAATGGCTGAAGCGACCAGGCCGCATTTGCGATCGCAGATCTAGAGTGCGAGCGCTCATAGCCAGCTATACGGAAGATAGTCGCAACGACCAGTCGTACTGGCCCGCACTAGATTTGCGACAGCGAATGCGGTCAATCTCAGTGTCAAGGTCATGCGGACAGTTCGTGAATGAACATGTTTCATACCGTTCTTCGACTGAATATGACGACGTTTTTTTCTACAATAAGTTTTGATACAGAGTTATTAATTAATGAAATAAACGACCAGCAATATGGTAGCGTCACGATCAGTCGTGGTCGTGGCCGCAGACCGCAGCCGCAGCCCAACCGCCTCTGCGACCAAGGTTGCGGCCACGTCCACAACTGATCGTGGCCGCGGTCGTCTAGTGCGCGAAGTGCCTTAATGGAACAACATGATAAACATTTAACATTTCAAAATTATAAAGTTGTTGTATCCACAACAATTCATTCATTTGTTGATAAAAATGTTGGAGAACTAGCGTCAGATTGTTCAATACATCGCTATTGCTGATTTAGTGTATTCGCACCTTTAGCGAAACTTTGGCGAATCGTGCTGTTTCTTTCTTCTCTGAAAGGAAAACGCGCACTATAAACGAAAACGGATTCACATCATCAAAGACGCCGCGACCGGCGCCAGCGCTGCACTTGTCTTGCCAGCGGGCGCGCGGGCGGCGCGTCGCCCGACCGTGCTTGCCGCAAAACAACATATTGTGTGTGTGTGTGTGTGACTGTGACTGTGATTAAATGTGTTTGGAATTTCATGACGTGGGCAAATCAGTCACGAAGAGTTATTTCCTTCACTAAGCTCGTAAGTTAAACCGATTTGCTCTGTATAATTTTTCGCCTTTTGCTCAAGTTTTAATTAAACGAGGCAACTAACATCAACAATAAAAAAGAAGTTCTTACACTAACAGACAGTCTTTACCGATTTAAAATCGTGACAGTCATATTAACTTTATAGGATTTTTAATTGCTCTAACAGAAGATTTATTTTATTGATTAATTACCTGTGCTTTATGAAACAATATTCAAAGGTATTGTGTATCAGTGAATAAATAATTATAATATAGCATATAAGACTATTTTATTGTAATGTTTTTAAATAGTGTGGAATCAAAGCGGACAGTAGGTAAGCGCCGAGTCATCTGTGCGTGTCGTAGGTACCTAGATAGGCAGCCGCCGGCGCCGGCCGTCGCCCCCGGCCGGGGCTGATCTGGACTGGAGGCATTCATTAAGTTTCCGTTTTTTTAGGAGTGCTTATTTTAAGTGGTTTTACAACTTCTATGTAGACGTGTTTAAAATGAATAATTACTCATAAGGAAGAAATGACAAATAATAACCAAATAAAAAAATAAAACACGTAAAAAACAATTTTAAAAAATCCGAAAAAAATCAGGCATACTCTATACACGTAACCCACCAATCTCACGAAGTTTCATTGAAACATTCAATTTCACCCTATATATAAAACTCAAAGGTGACTGACTGATTGACATAGTGCTCTATCAACGCACAGCCCAAACCACTGGACGGATCGGGCTGAAATTTGGCATGCAGGTAGATGTTATGACGTAGGCATCCGCTAAGAAAGGATTTTGATCAATTCTACCCCCAAGGGGATAAAATAGGGAATGAAAGTTTGTATGAAACTTTGTCAATTTTAAACCGATCGGGCTGAGACTTTGCATGCAGTTATAAGAAGAATCATAGATGAATGTCATTGTGGATAATACAAGCCCGAGAACAAAAACTGTAGTCTTCACTTCAGCTCTACACCGAAGCGAAGCGAGGGCGGGCCGCTAGTTATTAATAAATATTGAATAACATGTTATGTTAAATTATTTATTAAATAAAATAAATTGTCAGTAAAGGTATTTCTGCCTATATCCGTATTTTTGTATGCATGTGTTCAAGCATTTTTATATAAAACAGATAAATTTCAAAACTTATATAAATTAGTAATCTAATATATAAAATTCTCGTGTCGCGGTGTTTGTGGTTAAACTCCTCCGAAACGGCTTTCCCGATTCTCATGAAATTTTGTGTGCATATTGAGTAGGTCTGAGAATCGGATGTAATCTATTTTTCATCCCCTTAAATGTTAAGGGTAATCCACCCTTAATTTTTTTTTTCAATTATAGATATTTTTTTTTTAATTTTTTTATGATACATCATACAATTGTACAAAAAGGTGAAAATTTAGGGTTGTATACCCTAAATTTTCACCTTTCTTCCACCAACCCATATTTTTTTAGGGCGGTACGAAGTTCGCTGGGTCAGCTAGTATTTTTATATTAAGCACTTACCACTATCAGAGTCTGAGTTGAGCAACAATTCTTCTAGTCTGGGTCCCACCACGGGGTTCTTGTTTGAGGACAACTCTTTTGGTTGTTTTCTGAAATAGATAAAAAAATATGAAAGATATAAAAATAAATGAGGAGCTCGATGGCGCAAGTGGTTAGCGCGTTCGGCTGCGATCGTTGAAGTTAAGCAACTTTCGCAGTGGTCGGTCATTGGATGGGTGACCAAAAATTTACTATCTCGAGCCCCTCCGTGCTTCGGAAGGCACGTTAAGCCGTTGGTCCCGGCTGCATCTGCAGTCGTTAGCACCCACCAATCCGCACTGGGCCCGCGTGACGGGTCATGGCCCAATCTCCCTATTCCATCCATAGAGAAGGCCTGAGCCCCAGCAGTGGGGACATTAATAGGTTGATGATGATGATGATATAAAAATAATTGGAATAACACGGAAGAGACCTTAACGCAGAAATAGATATTTTTTAAAGTAAAGAAAATATTACTAGAAAAAATTCCACGCGGACCACACGGGGCTCGAACCCGCACCCTTCGCTATCCGGGCGAATGCACTGACCATTATGCTACCGCGGCCCTGATGGCCGTGTCGAATTCTTTCTAGCCATTCTTAAACTGCGAGGCAGCGCCCACATTGTTAATGAATACCTTTACAAGTTTTAAACATTTGGAACATGAAATAGCAATTACTTTTTTTTTATACTATTAAAAGCCATTATAATAAAAATGTTCCATTTTTATTTATTTTATTTATTTGATTAGGAACACATACAGCAATACATATCATACATTACAAAGTGATTAATAACATAAACACAATTATTATATGTTTGCCACTTACAAGTGTTCACAGCATTGGATATTAAAATGACAGTATTTTTAACTACATTAAAAAAAAACAATTGAATTATTAAATTAGTAAGATTAAAATTTGATAAAAAAAAAATGAATTACCTAATAAATTAGATTAGTAAATTTAAATTCATATTAAAGAGGTTGAGATGGAATTCAGCAGCTTATGTCGGAAGTGGTTTTAACTATCGTTAAATATGTCAATGTCTCCCAATTTGCCATTCGTGTCATTATAAGTGGAACAAATTCTAGAGAGATTCCATTTTGATTATCATTACTACATGTAGCAGTATTTACCTAAATATGTTTAAAGGCGGCGGCGAATATAGCAATATCTACATTAAAGTTTAATAAGATTTCGCTTTTTATATTCATGATTTTAAAATTTCTTTCCGTATGTTCCAATGAAAACCATTAGTTTGTAATTTTAACGAAAACTTAGCAAAAATAATACTGTGGAAATAGCTTCTAACTTAATAAATTTATGGCAATTTTTGTCTTATTTACGTGCAACGTCTTTATAAAAATTTACAAAAAGTACCCAAACATTTTAGGTGTTTCTTGGTGTTTGAGGATTTTTTTTCCAAATTCATATGATACCCCGAAAATATAACGTTTCCAATAAAAAAGGAATTATCAAAATCAGATCACTCCGTTAAAAAGTAAAAGTGTGTGTATGTGTGTGCAGGGCTTGAAACCGGTTTCGAAAATACCGGTAAATATAGGTTAATACCGGTTTTTAGTAAAGGTTTCGTTCGGAGCGCGTCCGAAATGAAAGCGGTACCTGAAACCTTAATAAACCGGTTTAATCCAGAGCGACGCGTGCACGCTTCGGCATCGCTTGAAGTTTATTTTATTTGAACTATTCAAGTCACAACTCGTTAATGCACAGAGATTGATGCATTTATTGACGCGTTTGCTAGCGTCTAGTGAGTCAAGTTATTTATTTATTATCGATGCCGTCAGAAAGAACGAAATGAAACCCTTTGAAAACCGCTCAATTCAATATTCAAAACCTATTTGATTTCGCTCTTTAGCAAAACCAAACCTAAATAAAACGCGCCTAATGTACTTGACACTGATTTAGGTTTGAAAATTAACCGGTAAACAAGCCCTGTGTGTGTGTGTGTGTGTGTGTGTGTGTGTGTGTGTGTGTGTGTGTGTGTGTGTGTGTGTATAATTAACGTACGTATTATTGAAGTGCGGTTTCCCATTGTGCGCTGGCGGAGGGGTGGCCAGCAGCAGGTTGTGCTCCGCCGTTGAATTGTTGGAGAGTGCTTCTGTACCTGATGTAATGAAAAATATTAATAATAAATAAATAAATATTTTGCAAAGTAAGCACTGTTGGCTTGTATTATGGGATACGAGGGTAGCGGATAGAATACATATACTGATACACATATAAGTATATTTAAATAGAAATACATATTAAACATCCATGACTGGAGTACAAATGCTCGTATTCATCACACAAACATCTGCCCCCACCGGGATTCGAACAAACCACTCAGCCTCCCTCACCTCACTCATATTGAATAAAGAACTCAGAAGAACATCATTTTCTTTTCCGCTCAACGATATTAAATATCCTAGATTACACCACGTGCGCTCAAAATGTGTCCCTATCAAGAAGTGCTTGAACTCCACTCAAGCACTTCTTGGTTCAACAAAATCGTGGCCGGAACGTGTCCAAAAGGCACATTGGACGATCCACGGAGCTTCGTAAGATGATCGCAAGTTCAAAAACCATATAAAGCATTATTTAAACATTAAAAATCACCTTTAATGCATACTGTATAAGGTCTTAATTAAAACGCATGCGTCAGAGACTTCTGACAGTTCGAAATGCAAGCTCGTAAAATTTTACGACTTATTGCTATATGCGGGAGAATATACACCTTATTTCTTTGACTGTACGCGCAATTCTGAATGCGCTGTTAGCAATATAGCAGGTACGGACCATGCATTTGAATCCCACGAATATTTTCTATTAAATCCGTTTATAGTAAGTACCTATTACAAAAAAAATGTTTCAAATGCGTTAAATTAACAAACATTGATTAGATACCTGTCGAGAAAAGGACATTTTACATACTATAAGTATTTATTACGCAATTTTTCACGGAGCTCAGCGGCGTGTTGACTTCTCAACGCTTGAGTGGTGTTCAAGCACTTCTTGATTAGGACACATTTTGAGCGCTCGTGGTGTATCTAGGTTATTTTATATCGTTGACTTATACCGTTTTGTACGTCAGCTCCTCAAATACAATACATACCCATCTCCGTCGGTGTCTTATTTCCGTTCATAGCGCTAAATCCATTCGATAGTGTGAGCGAAGATATCTGCTGCTCCAATACTTCGGGCACTTTGAACTCTGCAATGTCGGAGAGGTTGTTCCTGGCGAGATACGCTGATAAATCGTCTTTGTATGTGACCTTGGATAATTCCTGGAATAAATAAAAAATATGGAAATTTCTGAAGTAAAAAAAAATTTGGTAAAAATTTTTGGAGGGAAAATTTCTTATAGCGAGTCGGGCCCTTTTTAGATGGGAACGCGTTCAAACACATATAAAACAAATCTTATACTCACAATCACGTTAATAATAGGGTATTTGACAAGTTTTAGAAAACGATCTCACGTTATTGACCAATGTTTATGGAGTCCGTAAATATTCATCATTCTGTTGTGTATTTCAGTAAAAATAACTAAATCAAAAACTCCATTTTCAAGTTGCCGCGAAAATGTTTCTCTGGACAATATGGCGTCTTACTAGTGTGTGACGTCACACGACTGTTATTAAAACGTCAAGCGATACAATGTAATGTCACTTTAACCGGAAGTTTACTTGCGTGTGACGTCATTTCAGGCTCCGCCAATCCTAAGCGTTTTGGGTCACGTGACAATAGATAAGAAAACTATTATCTTTTTCGTTGGCTTTAAGTAAATTTTTGAATATTTTTTTTTGTAAATATAGTAAAAACCCCTGCCAATATTCATTCTAAACACAGATAACAATTGACACTTTATTTTTAATACTGTCAAATACCCTATTAAATAAGATACATTATGAGGCATTGGGCTATAAGCTATAATACTTGTAATGGTATTTTTTTTATGTACGATTATTGTTTACCTGTAACCTCGTTTTGTACGTGTTCATCTGTAACTCAAGCTTCTTGTTTTGTAGAGTCAGTTTCTGCATTTCGATGTATTTGCCGTTGTCGTTCAAGAACCGCCTGAAAAGATACAATATCAAATTAAAAAATTTGACTGATTACAAAGTGATTATCTATATATATATAAAACCCAAAGGTGACTGACTGACATAGTGATCTATCAACGCACAGCCCAAACCACTGGACGGATCGGGCTGAAACTTGGCATGCAGGTAGATGTTATGACGTAGGCATCCGCTAAGAAAGGATTTTGATCAATTCTACCCCCAAGGGGATAAAATAGGGAATGAAAGTTTGTATGAAACTTTGTCAATTTTAAACCGATCGGGCTGAGACTTTGCATGCAGGTATAAGAAGAATCATAGATGAATGTCATTGTGTATAATACAAGCCTGAGAACAAAAAATGTAGTCTACACACCGAAGCGAAGCGAGGGCGGGCCGCTACTTATTTATAATTATTGTGTAAGAATTAGAGCCTATGTGTCACCTAAAAGAAAGTAATTTTAATTGTATTGGTATCGGAATTTTTTATGTCACTATTATGTATAAAAGCTGATAAGTGTCATTCACCCTTTCTTATTATCAGCTAAAATATATCCTGAAGGTCAATAAGAGCTTTTTTTTAAACACTCATACCAATTAGCCTAGCCCCAAAGTAAGCACTGTAGGCTTGTGTTATGGGATACTAGGGTAACGGATAGAATACATAGACTGATACATATTCACATAAAAATTCATATTAAACATCTATTACTGGAGTACAAATGCTCGTGTTCATCACATAAACATCTGCCCCCCAACGGGATCCGAACCCGGGACCTCTCGAGTAGGCGACACTTTGAAACCCGGCGTACAAACCACTCGGCCACGGAGGACGTCAATAAATAAATAAGTTTATATGTCTAAAGAAAATATTACTAGTAAAAATTCCACGCGGACCAGACAGCAGACGGGACTCGAACCCGCACCCTTCGCTATCCGGGCGAATGCACTGACCATTATGCTACCGCGGCCTCGAGTAACAATTCATCATCATCAGCCTATTAATATCCCCACTGCTGGGGCACAGGCCTTCCCTATGGATGGAATAGGGAGATTGGGCCATGACCCACCACGCGGGCCCAGTGCGGATTGGTGGGTGCTAACGACTGTAGATGCAACCGGGACCAACGGCTTAACGTGCCTTCCGAAGCACGGAGGAGCGAGAGATAGTAAATTTTTGGTCACCCATCCAATGACCGACCACTGCGAAAGTTGCTTAACTTCAACGATCGCAGCCGAACGCGCTAACCAGTTGCGCCATCGAGCTCCTCCGAGTAACAATTACTTAAATATAAGTGTCATTTAATGAAGCTTTGAATTATGTGACATGTCTTAAGTGCGGTAAATTTTTAATATGTATACATAACCATTTTAAAAATGTTTCAGTAAATGAAAGAGCGATGTTTAATAATAATAATAATAATAATAAAAACTCTTTATTTTACACCACAAAAAAAAAATATATATATAAAACATACATAATGGCTGCTTAAAGTGTAAAAATGGGCGGTCTTATCGCTAAGAGCGATCTCTTCCAGACAACCTTGGGATGGAGAGGACAAGAAAGAAGCTGGAAAGACGGCGGTGTAATTAACTGCAATAATACGCGAGAAAATCTATGTACAAACCGAGTATATAAAACAAATAAACACATATAAATACATAGATATACATAAATACACTCATATATACATAGGTAAATAGATACATATATATATATATATATATATACACATACTAAAAAATACATAAGTATGTACCATATATAAGTCTAGTTCTTTGAGAGGAAATAAATAGAATAGAAGAGCTATAAGGACAAATAGTGAGATTTTAGAAGGTTTTTGAATCTGTGCAGAGATTCTGCACGTCTAATGGAAACTGGAAGCGAATTCCATAGGCGAACAGCTTGCACTGCGAATGAGCGGCCATAAAAAGTTGTTCCGTGCACAGGTGTAATCAGAGCAAAATTTTCTGATGACCTTAGGGACAATGTGTTAGAGGTGTGAAGGAAGTTAAAACATTCCTTAAGATAGCGCGGGGGCAAAGGATTAAACAGTACGTTATAGAGAAGAATAAGGATATGAGTATTCCGGCGAAAGCGAATAGGCAGCCACTTGAGCTGTGAACGAAATTGAGAAACATGATCATATTTGCGCAGGCCAAATATGAATCGTATACAGAAATTCTGAAGCCGCTCAAGTTTATCAAGCTGGGCCTCCGTGAGATCTAGATAGCAGACGTCAGCATAATCAAGAATAGGAAGCAAGAGTGTCTGAGCTAAGGTAATTTTGGTGGTAGTGGGTAGGAAATTACGCAGTCTCTTTAAAGAAGCTGCGGAAGCAAACAGTTTACGACTGAGCACTTGCATCTGGGGTCCCCAACTCATGCAGCTGTCGAAAGTTAAACCTAAGTTTTTCACTGAGGTGCTAAATGGAATATTGGTGCCCGCAAGATGGACTTTGGGGAGTGATTGCCAGTCAACTCTAGTGATCATCCTGGAACTTCCAATTACTATAGTGTTTGTTTTAGAAGGATTAACGTCCAGCCCAAAAGATTTACTCCATTCCAAAATAATGTTCAAGTCACTATTAGTGGCCAACACTGCATCACCAAGTTGACCAACGGGAGCTTGTTGATAAATCTGGAGGTCATCTGCATATAGGTGGTAGGAAGAAGAAATATTATTAGAAATAGAATTGATCAATACAGCGAAGAGTAGAGGAGATAAGACGCCGCCTTGTGGAACGCCAGCAGTCGTGTCACACCAAGAAGAAAACATCTCGTCGAGGCGGACTCGTTGCCTGCGCCCATACAGATAACTGTGAAACCACTCAATCGCCGATGGAGATACGTTAAGTGAGCGTAACAATGCCAAAAGAATTTCAAAGTTGACAGTATTAAAGGCATTGCTAAAGTCCAACAGTGTTAATACCGTAAGGAAACCGTGGTCCATCCCAAGACGTATGTCATCTGTGACTTTAAGTAAGGTAGTAGTAGTACTATGCCCTGGACGGAAACCGGACTGAAGAGGATTGAAGAGATCGTGGCGAGAAAGGAATATATTAAATTGATTAAGAACAAGGCGCTCAAGTGCCTTAGATAGAAAAGGAAGAATGGAAATGGGGCGAAAATCAGCGACAGATTGAGGATTTGATTTTTTTGGCAATGGGATAATTTGAGCTTGCTTCCAAGCCGATGGAAAAACAGCGTTAAGAATAGAATTGTTAAAAAGGAAAGTAAGCACAGGAAGAATTATATCTAAGATTGGTATTAACATGTTGCGACTTATACTGTCATTCCCCACCGCATTGGATGAGATAGAAAGCACACTCTTCTTAACGTCACATTCAGAGAATTGAGTAAAAGTAAAAGGAGAGTAGTCTGGAACTGGTAAAGAAGAAAGATAATTTAAAGTGTTAGTCTTGTCTGAGTCACTTAGACTAGAAGAAGATGAAAAGTGAAGGTTTAAGGAGTTGACGTTAATGCTACTGGGAACAGATTTTTGTCGGGGCTTACCAATTCCAAGTGACTTAAGAAAATTCCAGACTTTAGCAGGATCTTTATTATCTACTGAGACGTGAATATGGCGACGTAAAGCATCCCTACACACCAAGTTGCAGTAGTTACGGGCTCTAACGTAGTTAGCTTTATTGGAGTCAGTCGGTCGGCGTTTATACTTGCTTTTGGCGATATCCTTCTTGTGCATTAATGCTCTGATGTCATTCGTGAGCCAAGGCGCTGGTAGGTGTTTTAGCTTAATGGGACGAAAAGGGGCATGTTTATCGTAAAGTTCAGTGATAATTTGATTAAAGTTCTCGACCTGTTCGTCCACAGACACCGCATCAGTTACCAATGTCCAATCAGTACTAAGGGCGTCGCTTAAGAGTGCTTCCTTATCCATACCACCAAAATTCCGCTGAAGAATAACTTTGGGCTTAATTTTAGGAGGCCGAATTTTGTAGGACAAGAAAATTAAGTCATGGTATGAGAAGGCATCTGCCGAACATTGACCATGCTTCATAATACGATGAGGAGAAGACACAATTATTAGGTCAAGAAGTGAGGGAGTAGTGTTTGGAAAGTGATGAGTAGCGCTAAGGGGGAGAATATGTAGGTTACAAGAATTAATAATGGATTGAAGAGAAGATGTACGAGAGTCATTTTTTAAAAGACAAGTATTGAAATCGCCCATGATCAAAGTGTGGCTGTAAGAGGGAACCAAATCACCCAGGAGTTGTTCAAAAGAACTGAAATAGTTGACATTTAAAGAAGGGCTGTAATAGACTCCGAGAAGAATTTTGGTATGCGAGAGGATCACCTCGACAAATAAATGTTCACCGGCATCATTTGGAGGAGGCTGTGTGGAGGAGCTAATTATAGTGTAAGGAATTTGGGAACGTAAATAAATAGCAACTCCACCACCTCGGGAGCCCGTGCGATCATTGCGTAGCAGATTGAAGCCAGGCAAAGCATAGGAGGAAGAGGGTAGCGTAGGTTTAAGCCAGGATTCGGAGACTAGAACAGCATGAAGATTTTTGTGGTCAAGAGACGCCAGCATATCAGTGTAATGAGCCGGAATACTTTGGGCATTTATATGAACAACGTTAAAATTTTTAGGTACATCAGAAAATTCGTTGTCAAGGCAATCAGAAAGGGAAGGTATACTAAAAAAACTAGAGTCAGTGCAGTTGCTAGCAGGAGACAAAGATTGAAAAGAGTTTCCATCACTATCAATTTCAGAACTAGACATTAAATATATAATAGAAATATATAATATCAATATACAATATAAATAATATAAGTTGATAACGTAAAAATATTCAAATACCTAACTTTAATTATTATGCTCCACCTGCCGGTTGAGTGGAGTACAAAATGCATTAGAACATTACAAAAAAAGACAAAGTACTACTAAACATTCAAATAATTACAATAAAATACATTGAATAGTATCAAAGGACTTTTGAGCTATTGAGATGAAATAAAAAGATTTAAATCAGTGGATCTATTGGGAACTGTTATAATTCTAACAAAGTTGACTGTATGGGGATAGAAACAAAAGCAATCTAAAAAATGAGAAAAAAAAAAAACCACTAATGTTGCCTTGCTACAAAGCCATAAATATAGAAAAAAAAAAACTAAAGATAAGGCTGTATGGGCATTGATCCTTTTGCCTTCCCTGAAAAGGGAGAACAACAAAACAAAACAAAAAAGTGAATGACATGTCATGTGTCAGTGTCAGTCTGTCATCAAGTTGAATTTATTTACCTCTCGTTTAAAGAAATATATTATTAATTTACCTTCATTACACTTAATGGCAAAGTCTTCTACATATTCAACTGGGATAACGAATATACGAGTATATAAACAAGAACTTACGCGAAAAAACGGCACAAAGAAAAGATAAATCCACAGCAAAAGCTATAAGAAGCTCACTTGCACGTAACGCAAACAACAATAAACAAAGTGACAAGATTACTAGTTACTACTGCTTTTTGCTTGCTGTATTGGCCACACGTTTGCCCCTGGTTGGTACAGGCTTTGGTGATTCAGGCTTCGCTGCTACAGGATCTGAGATTTTATTCATGTCAGCAACCGCCTCCGGCGAAACCGGTCTCGCTGCAACTGGAACGGGGATTTTGTTGAGGTCAGCAAGGGAACTTATACGGTGACGCTTTCTGTCACCACCAATTACGAAGACGAACCCCATCCGCGTAAAGCACTTGCTGATTCCGAACTTTTCTCGAGCGGCGATGAAGGCCTGGTGCCTGTTTTTAGTCAAGAACTCCGATATGGTTATACCTGTACCTTTTAATTTTGATTTTGAATACCACAATTTGTTACGGACATCAATATCTCGCAACTTTACCAATAGTGGACGTGGCCGGTCACCAGAACGTCCCATTCGGTGGCAGCGATTAATATCCTTGGCCGTGAATGCAGATATTTTCAATTTACTTGTGATGGCTCCGGACACAACAGCTACTGCATCCTCCTCTGTGGACTCTGGCAGACCATGAAAAAGTAGAATTTTTCTCCGACTGTGCATCTCCATGCCATCAACTTGTCGAACAAGCAGGTCTATTTGTTCCTGGAGACTGCGAATGGATGACAAAACAAATCTTCGAAAAGTTGTGAAATCCGCAGTTAGGCTAGCAACGGTGGATGATGGAGTAGCAGCCTTAAGCTCGTTCTCGTAGAGATTCATGCGCTCAGTAAATAAACTCTGAAGTTGGGACAAGGTATCTTGTATGGCATCCATTGATCACAAAGAACAGTGCAGTGCAGTGACAAAATAAAAAGTGTAGTGGTTTAGTAACAGTGTAGATAACACTCTCCGGCAGGTATAGTGCAGTAACTATTAATTTAACATATAAATTATAAATATAAAATGTGAAATTAAATTATTTTATGCACTTTTAAACTGGATGATTTTAAAACGCAACCACTTTTTACACCTACCCGCCTTCGAAAAAAAAAAAAAAAAAAAAAAAAAAAAAAAAAAAAAAAAAAAAAAAAAACGTTTAACTTCGCGTGCTAATTATCCTATTTTAAATAAAACTGTTTTCAATGTTGAAACACTGTTGTTTCTACATGTTTACGTAGGAAAATTTTGCTGTGGGTAAGAAACATCACAATATTCAACTAATAACAAACGATATTCACAAATCGCTTGTCAAATCACTAAATACAGTTTTTCGTTCAAAAACAAATCTTGACATAGAAGACATTAAACTATACATTATTTTAATCACTTTGGTTAAAATACTTGTCAAGTAAATGTTTAACTTAATTTGGCTGCAACATTAGTAGCTGGGGGAGCTCGATGGCGCAGGTGGTTACCGCGTTCGGCTGCGATCGTTGGAGTTAAGCAACTTTCGCAATGGTCGGTCATTGGATGGGTGACCAAAAATCTTCTATCTCGAGTTCCTCCGTGCTTCGGAAGGCACGTTAAGCCGTTGGTCCCGGCTGCATCTGCAGTCGTTAGCACCCGCCGATCCGCACTGGGCCCGCGTGGTGGGTCATGGCCCAATCTCCCTATTCCATCCATAGGGAAGACCTGTGCCCCAGCAGTGGGGACATTAAGAGGCTGATGATGATTAGTAGCTGACGCTACTAATCATCATCAGCCTCTTAATGTAGTAATTATATTCAATAATTGTTGTAATATTTTTAGAGACGTCGCAAAACAAAGTTTTAGAAAGCGTCCTCAGATTATTTAATTATGTTTACAGAGTCCATAAAAAAATATTCATCATTCTGTTGGGTATTTAAGTAAAAAAACCAAATGAGAAAATAAATGCCGCGAAATCGTTTCTCTGGACATTATGGTCTCACTTGTTTGTGACGTCGCTCGGCTGTCAATCAAACGTCAAACGATACAATGTTATGTCACTTGGACCGAAAGTATACTATACTAGCGTGTTCGGTCAGGTGAGCATAGAACATAAAAAAAACATTTCTATTTAATGATTATTTAGGAAAGTTATTAATTATTAGTTCTTTCAGAATTATAAAATGGCTGCTAATATTCATATTAAATACAGATGCCAACAATTGGTAGTATATTTTTCGGTCAGGTGACCATAGAACATAAAAAATCATTTCTATTTAATGATTATTTAGAAAAGTTATTAATTATTTGTACTGTTAGAATTATAAAATGGCTGCTAATATTCATATTAAATACGCCAACGATTACCAACAATTGGTAGTTTATTTTTCATACTATCATGTAGCCTATTTTACTTTAAAAATAATATTCTCAATTTTATCGGTATTTCGATTAACACCGGTATAACTACATCACTAAGAGAACGATTTTTTTTTAAATATTGTCGTTTTGGAGAGGCCAAGGTCTGGGACCATAGTGCCTTGTCAAAATTTTCAACTTAATATCCGTGGCAAAGGCAATAATACTAGCATTTTATTTAATTTTAATGCCTCAAACACTGTTTTGGGCCTCCAAATAGGTACTACATTATAGACAGAAAAGTACTTTTCACGTACATATAATTTATTTTCCTATTCTTGTTATCTTTAATTAAATATCCTTCTTAAACTCAAGAAATGCCATTTATATATTTTAATTTTTAACTGCTAGTGTGTTAATGGTATCGATTCTGGCATGATTCTCTAAATCTAAACTTAAATTTGACAACAGTGTATCCTTGTCTCTATACAGAATGAAAAGGGGGGACTGATGTTAAATTTAGTTTTAAGTTTAGAGAATCACTCCAGAACGAACACCAATGTTTAAATATAAATAAATTTTTACTAAAGAATCGGGCGACTCCATTTATAATGGTCGTTCGGAAGGGTGCGGATTCGAGTCCCGTCTGCTGTCTGGTCCCCGTGGAATTTTTCCTAGTAAAATTTTCTTCATATTTAAATCTATTTTATTACAAAATAATAGATATTTATTACCTGTACGCCAAATCGAAAGCTTGCCCGATGGTGAGAGTGATCTCCGAGGCGAGTTTCGTAGATATAAATACGAAACACTCGTGTTTCTCCGCGGCGTTGTCTGTGTTGACGCCCCCGTTTATGGTGCTGCCACCTGTGAAGAATCAAACGGAGAAAATAAGAATAGGGATGATGACTATTTTTTTTTTCTTCGTTTATCAGGTAGATTATCAAAAAGTATTGGACACTTATTTTTTCTTATTTCACATATATAAACATTGCAGAGATATATTGATTTGAAAAGTCGCATGACGTCATGTTTGAGTACACTTTTAAGTGAAAATTCACTCAAAAGTGACGTCGCGAGCCCCTACTCCCAAAATTTGACGCGCTATAACTTTGTCATTTTTTGGTTGATTGCCCAAAGAAAAAATGCGTGTCCATTATTTTTTGATCATCTAACTGACGGACTAAATAGAATGTCGTTTACTGTACCCCGTCATCACCCCTATTATAAACTCGGCTTTATTTACAGAAATATACACCAATCAGTATGATACATCAATCAGTATCATACCATCCATAGGGAAGGGCTGTGCCCCAGCAGTGGGACATTAATAGACTGACGATGATGAGTCGTGTGACGCTCGTGAGGCATGTCCGTTTCATCTTTTCAATTGATTTTTTTGATTTACTCCTTCCGAAAAGAACTTTTATTTCAACAAATGTGAATCTTTTGAAATATACCTAGATACATAGATAATAGTCTCGCTTCACGAGACCAATCATTCATCTATGCCTAGATTTTTTTTTTAATCTTTTTTTCCATCTTCCATTTTTGGATTTTGATTGGTCTCGCTTCAAGAGACCAATCATTCGTCTATGCCTAGATATTATTATCTTTTTAATCTTTTTATCGCCATCTTGCTAAAGGCAAAGGCAGAGCCATGCAGCCAGAGTCTTCATTTAAAAAGTTTTTTTTTGTGTTTCTTTTTTTCTATAATGCCGAAGCTACTACTTCAATCATAAGATAAGGACAGTTATATATACAGTTATAGTTATATACCTAGATAAGGACAGTTTGTTGTGACGTTTTGAACTTTTAAATCAAAAAAGGCAAGAGATAAATTTATCATTCCGTTTTCCATAGGATTTTTCCATTTACACCACTTACACAGCTGTTTATGTTGGGAACCTCTTATTTGTACGGAACTCGGTGGGCAAGACCGTAACGCACTTGTCCGTTTTTTTATAATTTAGTTCATCATCACCATCATCAGCCTATTAATGTCCCCACTGCTGGGGCACAGGCCTTCCCTATGGATGGAATAGGGAGATTGGACCGTGACCCACGCGCGAGCCCAGTGCGGATTGGCAGGTGCTAACGACTGCAGATGCAGCCGGGACCAACGGCTTAACGTGCCTCCCGAAGCACGGAGGAACTCGAGATAGAAGATTTTCGGTCACCCATCCAATGACCGACCACTGCGAAAGTTGCTTGACTTCAACAATCTCGCCTTCGTGCTCCTCTGTATAATTAGTTTAGAAGTGTATAATTTAGTTACCTTTAGCTATAAATGAGAAGTATTTCTTTGCACCCTTGTCATCCGCGCAGTACGAAATCCTATGGAGAGGAAATTGGTACATAATGTTGTTTGTTCTTGGCTCCTGTAAACAATGCAAAGAAAAGTCACATTAGTGAAAATAAAAAATGTGAGTCACGGGAAGACTGCCCGATGTGAAACACTAGTCGGTTTACGATAACTACACTTGGAGAATTTGCTCGGATTGCGTGAGGTAAAAAATGACGTAGGTCCTTCCTCGAAGGGCGCTGGCGCCTTACTGATCTAGGTTGAAAATATATCGATGAATCGATATAGCGATATTTTTTGTTCGATATATCGACATTTTTTGCCGATATATTTTGATTCGATATATCGATACAAAATAGCCAATATCGAAATTCGTATCAAAAACGATATTTTTTTAATTCTTAGCGGCATATCACGATCTAACTAAATTCTTATCTGGAAAAATCGTAACTGGATCTCAGATTAGTGATATTCAACATATCTATGATCTGTGCTTTATTTAGTATTGTCTATGTCATCATTCGAAAATAGAGTCTATTTTTAGGGAGATAATTGTCATATTTCGTGAGTTACTGTACGATATTTTTGGGAAAATTGGTCCGATATATCAATGTTTTTTTCGCGATATATCGAAGCCGATATTGATATTTTTTTAAATATCGATTTATCGATATATCGACGTTTTTTTCAACTTTCGACATCCCTAACTGATCGCCGAGTAGTTGAGCAATGTACCTTTCGTACGACTTTGAAAAATATGCGGATATTCGCGAATGCGAATATCCGTTACATCACTAAACCTACATGCTCCAAGGTGTGCGCAGTTTTTCCCTTGAAAGTTGGAAGGTAACTCGGCGAAGACTGAAATTATGTTTTCTGAACAATAAAATCGCTGCTACTATCCATATTAAATACAGATGCCGACAGTTTGTAGGTACTTTATTTTTACAGTCAAATAGCCTCAATCTAGGTCTGTGGACGATCCATTTCACTGAGCTCACTCGACCTTGCAACGATGTCGCGAAAGCCGAGCTGTCTATAATCAAGAAGCTGATATACTGTTACACTTTTACGCTACTTTCGGTGAATTCAACCACAAATTTATGTTAGGGCTCCCTGCCCAAATGGTAAAAACCAATGGAACCCTATCGCTGTCCTTTAGGTTGATTCTGTACCGGGTTCGAATCCCGATAGGGACAGATGTTTGTGTGATGAATACGAGCATTTGTACTCCAGTCATGGATGTTTAATATGTATTTCTTTATAAATATACTTATGTCTTCTATCCGTTACCCTAGCATCCCATAACACAAGCCTTATGGTATACACACTACGAGAAATCGTTACGATCAGACTGTACAGTTCGAACGGTACAGTTTATACGATTTCGTTTAATATAGGAAACTGTGCAGTTTTATAACATACACGCTACGATTTATCGGTACCGTTCGGACGGTACAGTCTAATCGTAACGATTTCTCGTAGTGTGTATGGCTACCTACCATTACAGTGCTTACTTTGGGGCTAGGCTAATTGGTGTGAGTGTTGGAAATATTTATTATGTATTTCATTTTATTTACACCCTGTTCGAAAAGATTCAAAAACTTCTAAGTTAACTTGAAAAAGATACGGCTGCTTAAGTTGCGTTGGGTACATACAAAGTATTGTACACTTAGCACGAACCAATATCGAATTCGAATAGTTTGCGAGTGCGAAATGTCATTGTCAAATGTGTACTGATCATGGAGGTTAGAGAGAAGGTGAATGATCGCTGTAGAAAACAGTGTCCCAGAAATATGGACAGAATAAGTGAGGCGTTGCGATCGATAAGTTGTCTCAACAAAAGCCGGCTAATAGGGTATTTGACAGTATTAAAATTAAAGTGCCAATAGTTAGCATCTGTGTTTAGAATGAATATTGGCAGGGGAATTTACTATTTTTACAAAAAAAAATATTCATAATTTAACTAAAAACCCACGAAAAAGATAATAGTTTTCTTATCTATTGCCACGTGACTCAAAACGCTTGGGATTGGCGGAGCCTAAAATGACGTCACGCGCAAGTAAACTTCCTGTTAAAGTGACATTACATTGTATCGTTTGACGTTTTAATAACAGTCGTGTGACGTCACACACTAGTAAGACGCCATATTGTCCAGAGAAACGTTTTCTGGAAAATGGAGTTTTTGATTTGGTTATTTTTACTGAAATACACAACAGAATGATGAATATCCACTTTTTATGGACTCCATTGTAGGAAGACCAAAGGGGAAGATCTTCCTCCGAGCTGGGTGGTGGTAGCTCGGGGGCCGCGGCCCGACTGATGTCGGTCATCGTATATATGAAGAGTTAGCTTCCGAATTTCATTTGCGCGATGTAGGCTTCCATACTATTATGATCGCAGTGCAGGTAACGCCATCTCTTGAGGATGGTGAGTAATGATTTCCTCCATCCGTTGTCTATATGTGGGGCATATAGATGTCGCCGCCACACCATAAACATTAGTCAATAACGTGAGATCGTTTTCTAAAACTTGTCAAATATCCTATTTGAAATGACCAATGCCGCGAAGAAAATTTGTACAATATTCAACTAACTTCATCTACTTGTACTGTATAAACAGACAGACCGACGGAAGCGCGGCTGGTAGTACTGATTTACAGTTCTCGTTACATCCGTTGTGGCGCTTCTGTTTGCTTGATTCTTTGGCTTTGCGTAGGGATGTAGCTTCGCTCTGCATCTTCTATCGCATTTATCACGGGGAGTGTTCTGAGGAATTGTTCGGATTAATTCCAGCTGCTGCATTTCGCCATCGTACATCGCGACAAAAATTTCATCCCCATCATCTTGATGCGTGGCTATCCACAACCGTGCGTTTTTGTCGAAATTTTTTACCACGTACGACAAAACTGTGGAATATGTTGTCGCCAGCAGTGTTTCCGGACCGATACGACCCAAAAATCTTCAAAAAAAGAGCGTACTCCTTCCTTAAAGGCCGGCATGGCATTTGTGATACTCCTGGTGTTGCAAGTGTCCATGGGCGACGGTGATCACTTACCATCAGGTGAGCCGTCTGCTCGTATGCCCCCTATAACTTAAAAAAAAAGTTTTCATACAAAATTTGGCATTGACATTTCGCACTCGCAAACTATTCGAATTCGATATTGGTTCGTGTTAAGGGTACGGAACGCTCGGTGACGAGTACGACTCGGACTTGTCCGGTTTTTTTTTATAATTATGTACGAAACACAATGCTGATGTAATAAGAAGATTTTACCGCTTATACAACGACAGTGTGAGAATATCTTTGATTAGGTATTGTGATTGCAAAGTTGCGTCATAGCTTTTTCCAATAAAGCCGCCTATACATGCTGGCTAAGCGAAGGCCAATACGAACGTATAGACAGCATATTTGTCTTGCCTTGTCATCGCTCGGTGTCACTTGCCTTAGTTGCCGAGTAAAGGGAAGCGCCAACGTGTATAGACCTTATTTGGCGTCGCTTGTCAACACTCGCTGTAGCTCGCCCAACATTTGTCTCACGTCGTCCATATTAAATAACTATTAGCGCACCAATTAGGGTTGCCAGATGGCCGGGAAATTCGTGATTATCCCGTGTCCATTAATTACCGAGACCTTATTGCCCCGGATTCCGATTGCAAACCGCTGGCCTGCTTGATGTTTTGATTTCTGTGGGGATTGCAGCGTTGGATTTGATGCTTTATTTTTTCAGGGGGGGGGGGGGGTGCAAATGTCCGGAATTGACAAGCCAGCCACTCAGATCGATCTTGGGCTACTCGCATCTAGCTCCTGCCAGCCACCTTGCGCAAATCGTCACTCCACCGTGCCTGAGGACGTCCTACACTACGTTTGCCTAGACGCGGTCTCCACTCCAGAACTCGTCTACCCCAACGGTTATCGGTTCTTCGGCAAATATGGCCAGCCCACTGCCACTTCAACTTGCTAATCCGGTGGGCTATGTCGATAACTCTGGTTCTCTGTCGGATTACCTCATTTCTGATGCGATCCTTCAGAGAAACGCCGAGCATAGCCCTTTCCATAGCGCGCTGAGCGACTTTGAACCTGTAGCACTAATACACTAATTAAATTGTGGTGCATGAACACAATTAGCTTTAGTCACAATTTCACATTTTCAATATTAAAAAGATTAGATCAAATATTACCTGAATAGCGACTCCGTCCACAGATATAGTGATTTCCACCTTCTTGCATTTGGCGGCGTCTTTAGTCTCCGATTTCTTCAGCTGTTGTGTGAACTGTAGCTTTTTGATGGCATCTTTGACTACTTCGATACCTTTCGGCTGGTCCACTTGTGTGCAACCAAGGAACTGGAAAAAAACAGAATTTTATTGTATTAATTGACGAATTGAATACGAATAAAACGCATGAATGATAAGAATGAAATGAATGTAAAAGAAAAACAAAAATCTGGAAAATTTATGTAATTTATTTTTATCCCTGTTTTCGTCAACTTAAAAAATGACTTCAGAGATTATTCATGAAGTCAGTCACCTTTCAGTAGATAATGTGAAATATACTTGTTAAATTGTTCACTTGCATTTTGATTCATGTGTCCATACAGTTTAAATACAAATACTGTTATTTATATGAAATGTTATTTTTTTTTTCAGAAGCAGGTAGGCAAATGACTCTACCCCACCTGATGTTAAGTGGTGATAGAGTCCAAATGCGAAGATAGCTGGTACAGCAGTTATAAACTGCTACACCAACCATCCTCACCTTGCCGGCCCGCAAAAATGCTTCTTCACGCCTCTCTAAAGGGACCCCAGAATGTAGTAAGGAGGCAACACGTGCGCGGGCAAAGAATTCCACTTGCGAACAGTACGACAAAGAAATGAATCACCAAATTTCTTTGTTCGTGTAGGAATAGTGGCGACAGTAAGTCAGTGACAACGTAGGCCAGCGCGCGTGGTCCTCTGAATAAAAGATGATAGGGGATAAGGGAGAATATCTCCTCAGAACACTCGCCGTGGTCTTCACTTCACAATCGGTAGAATTCGCTCAATGATGCCACATCGCGGCGTGTTCCCTAGATTTGCATAAAAGTTGTACAACAAGTAAGTAGAATCAGTCTACACAATATACAATTATATACCACACACATAAGTTTCGCCGCACACGGGCCATACGCCACAGCCACAAACGCCGCCACGAGAAGCTAGAAGCGGCTACTAAAGTGGCTGAAGCGCGTGACAGCGGCCGACTAAGGCAAGGGAGAGAGGGGTGGGGAATCGCGCGAGTGACGTGTGGCGGTGTTTTGTATCGGCGCATTAAGTGGCCGGTGCGGGCCACAAGAAGCGAGCAACGACGATTTCTAGTGTGCGACGGCCATCGGAGTACCGTGCGTGGCGAGTCCATATAAAACGTACAAGAACTACAAGAAATATGCCGGTGGCTGTGTTTGTTTAGTTTGTAAGAATGTAATTTTTTTGTGTAATAGTTGGCAGTTCTTGTTTACTGGCCGTGACCCGCATAACATCACATGGAAAAGATTGACGCTTAAAACCAGCACGGACCAGAGTATACCTTGGCTTCGCTTACGCTGAGCCTCATCCTCTTGCCTCCATCCATCCATCCATCCATCAGCCTTTCTCCGTCCACTGCTGGACATAGGCCTCCCCCATAGAACGCCACAATGCGCGGTCCTGCGCTATCCGCATCCAGCGGCTCCCAGCACATTTGACGATGTCGTCAGTCCACCTTGTTGGGGGCCGCCCCACGCTGCGTCGTCCGGTACGTGGTCGCCACTCGAGGACCTTTCTTACCCAACTGTTGTCAGATCCTCGAGCGATGTGGCCTGCCCATTGCCACTTCAGCGTGCTAACTCTTCGGGCTATGTCGTACACACCGGTCCTTCTACGGATCTCCGTATTTCGGATCTTATCACGTAGGGAAACACCGAGCATAGCCCTCTCCATAGCACGCTGCGCGACTCTGAGTTTTGTTATGAGGCTGACATTCAGAGACCACGTCTCAGTCCCATAAGTCATCACTGGTAACACACACTGGTCATAGACCCTTCTTTTCAGGTACTGGGGAATTTTGGCCATGAGGATGTGCCTAAGCTTCCCATCCGAGTTGGATTCATCGGTTGACCTCTTTCTCGAAGTCTCTCTTGCCTCCACTAAATGTTATTTTAAGATACATACTTGTAATTTTGTTTTCCCTAAGTAGTTAACGCTTTAATAAGTGTATCATAATTTGGAGGCAATAAAATAGTTTATTATTATTATTAATCACAAAAAAAGAACATTCTGATACGAGTAAAGCATTCGACCAATAAACGGATCATTAGCACGGATATAAATAATGTTTTTATCATAACACGTGCGTCGTAGTAACACAATACACTCGGGCGAGTGTTGGGGGCGTTTTATCTGCACTTGGATATCCTTTCAGATGTTCTATATACCGTTTGTTATGATACTCAATGCGACTAAAAATAATGTTCCAATTATTATTTTTTCATATAACGCATAATATGGCGTTTAGGCGTTCGACCAAGGTCTGCTGACAAATAATCTATATATATAAAACTCAAAGGTGACTGACTGACAGTGATCTATCAACGCACAGCCCAAACCACTGGACGGATCGGGCTGAAATTTGGCATGCGGGTAGATGTTATGATGTAAGCATTCGCTAAGAAAGGATTTTGATCAATTCTACCCCCAAGGGGATAAAATAGGGAATGAAAGTTTGTATGAAACTTTGTCAATTTTAAACCGATCGGGCTGAGACTTTGCATGCAGGTATACCTATCTTGGTATAGCGTGTCGTGTGTCTTCGCGCTCTTATCCTACGGGTGCGGTGTCTGCTTAATGTCAAGCTAGTGTGCAAATATGCTAGCTGTGTAGTGTGTGTGATGATGATGTTTGTGGCCTACGTGGGAGTTTGTCATTGGGGTACCCTAAAGTGTGCCTGGGCCGACGGAATTGGAGAGATCGTGTGTGCAGCCGGAGTACATCGATATATGTATGTTATAAGGCGTTATCACGTCAAAAAAACATATAGTCTAATAATAATGGTCAGTGCATTCGCCCGGATTGCGAAGGGTGCGGGTTCGAGTCCCGTCCGCTGCCTGGTCCGCGTGGATTTTTTTATTAGTAAACTTTTCTTTAGATATAGTCTAAGTCAAAAAAAACATATAGTACCTTCACTAAGTATGCTACGTGGCCTTTGATGAGAGCGTCGGGCGCGTGGATCCAGTTACGGCCGTTCGGAGCGCCGTTCGCCTTTCCTTTACCCTGCCAGAACAGCAGGGTCGACATTCTGGAACAAGCAAGAAGACAACAGGTTAATAAACATATTACACACCTAGTCCTTGAGGCAAGATGAGAGGGGGGGGGGGGGGGGGAGAGAGAGAGGGAGAGAAACATTTTATTGACCACAGTACATCACAAAATAACTAACAAAAAAAACCACGGGTTGCACTCCGGGAGTGCCGGCAGAAGTGAAAACTTGAATATTAACGTTGTGCATTTTTGATATATTGGAATGGTTAGGGAATAATTTTGCACAGTACGCCTCTGCATCTACTGTTTTTTCTTGTAGCACTTTCCATACATATACTGCTTTTTTCTATAACGCCTCCCGATTTTTTATATTCGGACCTGGCAACACTGGTCGCCACACATACTGCACAAAAACATTGAAATATAATATTTGTTTTTCAGGTTTTCACGCACATCACTTTCACATTACAGAAAATCAAGTAGGGGTCTACCTAAAACCTAAAAACATGCAAAGGGTCTACGACACAAAAAAGTATGGGAACCTCTGATTTAAACCATTGAAACTTCCCCACGACAACGGCTAACTAGAGCCGAGGTCCGAGTCTCAGAGACGCCCTAGTTGAGCCGACCCCCTCAGGTTCGAGTGGTCTGGAGGCTCCAGACGGAGAGGAGACTCCCCCCGTGGGGAGATGCCATCCGCCTGGAATACCTCTAGAGGCACTCGCCAATTCTTTGCTTGAAGTCCCCTTAGGTTCTCGCCGTCCCCAAACCCGGTGACGCTGTAAAGGTCATCTGCGACCAACATCGCATACAAACTCAAAAAAAAAAATACGTTGAAACTTGTTTTATTTAATGACTAGTGGCCCGCCCTCGCTTCGCTTCGGTGTAGAGCTGTAGTGTAAACTATAGTTTTTGTTCTCAGGCTTGTGCTATAAACAATGACTTTATTTATATAATTACACGTGTTATTGTGAGTCAACCATAAAAGATAGCAATATACTGTTGCGGGATATTTTTTTAGACAATTTTATGTAGAATATTTTCGCGCATACATGATTTCTATGTAACTTTAACCATTAAGGCTGCACACGCGACGGAAGCTTAAAAAATGGAGTAACTTCTCCCGTTTTCCCAACATTTCCCTTCACTACTCTGCTCCTATTGATTGTAGCGTGATGAAAAGTATACTATAACCTGCCCAGGAGTATGAAGAATATTTGTACAAAGTTTCGTTAAAATCCGTCGAGTAGTTTTTGTTTCTATAAGGAACGTACATACAGACAGACAGACAAAATTTTTACTGATTGCATTTTTGGCATCAGTATCGATCACTAATCACCCCCTGATAGTTATTTTGAAAATATATTTCATGTACAGAATTGACCTCTTTACAGATTTATTATAAGTATAGATAATTTTATTTGCATCATAAACATTGATTTGTGCACAAGCAATATTGCAGTAGACCATTCTATTAAATCATTAATTGCATTGTTTTGCACACTATCTATTGATCAAGCACGATTCGCAAGAACATTATGTAAATAAATCATAATTTTTCAAAGTTTTAAATAACATATGACGCCAAGTTTATATAACCTTTAACATGGAAGTGTTTTTAATAGAACTTACGTATATTCAATTCAAATCAAAATCATTTATTCAAAAGAAAATATAACTAGAAAAAAATTCACTAGGACCAGGCAGCAGACGGGACTTGAACCCGCATCCTTCGCTATCCGGGCGAATGCGCTGACCAATTATGCTACCGCGGCCCTGCCCGGACGTCAAAACAAACTAGGGGGCGTCCATAAATTCCGTGAGGTGTTTTTTTGAATTTTCTGTCCCTCCCTCCCCCCCTGATGAGATGTCGTGAGATTTTATTCAACCCCCTCCCCCATCCCCCAATCTCACGTGAGATTTTTCAAAATGTGGGTTTCTTACGTAAATGCATTGGATTGTTATTGTAAAAAGAAAAAAAAATGCTTCGTGCTTTTATTTACGACTAGTTAAGACTAGTAATCAATATTGCTGAGAGTTATTTCTTTCGAACGAAATAGTGAATGATCTTAATCGTATTACGATCACGCTTAAGATTAAATTTTAAGCATGTACCATCTGGATTAAATGGACCAAAATAGTATAATTTTATTTTGTTAAAATCAGAAAAAAAATTGCGTGATATTTGACTCGACCCTCTCTCCAACGTAAGATTAGATGAGATTTGACTCGACCCCCTCCCCCCCTGAAACATCTCACGTAATTTATGGACGCCCCCCTAACTCCTTCCATACAAAATTTGTCGTTTACGATACAATAGGGTATTACAACCATTTTTAAAAAAATGGGTGCGTGTACTTATGTAGGCGCGTGAGAAGTTATCCTTCTTTGGCATCGTTTAAAATTAGTTTTTAATTGCATGCAAATAATTAATTACATTAAATTAATAAAAAGTCTGGAAAAGGACACAGTCAATAAAGTTCAGTTTTAATTTGAAAAAATAAATAAATAATCAAAATATTCAATTAAAATCGCTACTGAATATAATTTATTAGAACATATGTGATTTGCACTTGTATGAAACTCAAACACGTATTCCGAATATACAAACTAGAAACATGTGGATAAATATTATTAATATGAATACCTATAACTGTTACTTTATTAAAAAAAATAAAGATGTGGTTTTTGGTTCTACTACACCAATGGTCCAGAGATGGCGCTGTAGTCTCCTGAATCGCGCTTTGGTTCCGTTGTTCCATATTAATAAATACTTTTGATAGGCCTTCACAATGCAGTCGTTAGCACCCACTAAATAGAGATTCTATTTCTATTTTGTTGGTAGATTTTCTTAATGTGCGGTAAACACAACAGTAATGCATGAAGTTGGTCGCTAAAGCGACCAACTTCAAGCTGTTAATACTTTGTGTTACAGTGATGCGCGCGCATCTTAAAATTTCACTCTCATCATTTTTTCATAACGCGCCTAAAGAAGTATAACTTCAAAAAATTCTAACGCGCTAACCGCTTGCTCCATCGAGCTCATTTACCTACTATATAACAATACAGGGAGAAAAAACAGCCCTTGCTGAGTTTCTTGCCGGTTCTTCTCAGTACAAGGTCTCCCGCCGTAGTTTTGAGAACCGATGGCGTAGCTTCCTGACCTTCACAAGTGCTTGTAACAGCCTAGACTGAATAAATGACATTTCATTTTATTTCATTTCATTACTAATACTATCGCGTTCCAATATGTTTTCAACAAAATAGAATAAATTTACTATTATATAACTTAGTTAATCAGATAATTGATAATCTTAATACAAAGATGTGTCGTCAATTCAAAGAATAAACAAACGTATGTAATGATAATTTTGCAATTGCGCATTCTTGTCGACAATTAAATGGAATCATCGGAAAAACCTTGTTGCGTTTATTTTTATGCATATTTCATGAATTCTTTACCTATTTGCCGATTATCTTAGTATTAAAATAACACTAGACGCGCTTCATAATAACTACACCCCTTGTTAGTTAGTTTTTGCAGGGCGGTTTCCGCACTTAGTCCTAAATATTGGACCATTATGCGTGTCTCAAAAACATTCCCGTTTACTCCAGCCAGCCTATATCGGTCCAGAAGGAAAGCAGCCTTGGTAGACTGCTGCAAGCTTCCGGAAACGATTCTGGTGACTGGAGAAGTCGTGCCCGTTGGTCGGCCACACTCCTGCATTCCATGATGACATGCTGTGGCGTTTCTTCTGCCTCCATGCATCCTCTGCATAGGGGGCTGTCTGTTACTCCTATTGTATATAGCTGTTTGTTTAGGGGACAATGACCAGTCAGGGTTCCTATAATCTACCACAACCCCACCCCACACATAACTATAACATAACATATAACTACACCCCTTGATGGTGGTAACTTTTCCATAGGTTTTTTCCATTAAAACCCCATTCGAATTCAAGTATTACTTCAAAAATAAATCTGTCCATAATTTTGATTTTTTTAAAGCATGTAACTGCTTGATGTTTATATCTAAAGAAAATATAATGTTAATAGCTTAAGAATGGCTGAAGGAATTTCGACGCGGTCCGTGAGGGCCGCGGTAGCATAATAGGGGTGATGACGGGGTACAGTAAACGAAATTCTATTTAGTCCGTCAGTTAGATGGTCAAAAAATAATGAACACGTATTTTTTCTTTGGGCAATCAACCAAAAAATGACAAAGTTATAGCGCGTCAAAGTTTGGGAGTAGGGGCTCGTGACGTCACTTTTGAGTGAATTTTCACTTAAAAGTGTACCAAAACGTGACGTCATGCGACTTTTCAAATCAATATATCTCAGCAATGTTTATATTGTTTGAAAAAAGAAAAAATACGTGTCCAATACTTTTTGATAATCTACCTGATAAACGAAGAAAAAAATAGTCATCATCCCTATTGGTCAGTGCATTCGCCCGGATTGCGAAGGGTGCGGGTTCGAGTCCAGTCTGCTGCCTGGTCCGCGTGGAATTGTTCTAGTTATATTTTCTTTAAATCTGTCCATTTACATTCCGCAAAATACGATATCATATTTCACAAAATGACATTAAAATTAACCTTTTTAAAACTACTAAAAGACTATTTAAACGTACTATGTATGAATCGGTATTTATTGAATTTTTATACATATTAGTATTCTGGAGCTCGATGAGCGATATCTCGGCTGCGATCGTTGAAGTTAAGCAACTTTCGCAATGGTCGGTCATTGGATGGGTGACCAAGAATCTTCTATCTCGAGTTCCTCCGTGCTTCGGAAGGCACGTTAAGCCGTTGGTCCCGGCTGCATCTGCAGTCGTTAGCACCCGCCAATCCGCACTGGGCCCGCGTGGTGGGTCATGGCCCAATCTCCCTTTCCATCCACAGGAAAGACCTGTGCCCCAGCAGTGGGGACATTAATAGGCTGATGATGAAGTATTCCACATGTATCACATTTTTTCCAACATTTACAACTGCTATAAAGTATTTTTTTTTCTAGTAAACTTTTCTTTAGATTTAAACATCTAGC